ATATATACACTATATATACACTTTATTATAATATAATATGTAGTATAATAACAATATAAATTAGGCAAAATACTGGAAAAACATTACAGTGGAAAACAATGGTTTGATCTCGGTAGAAATAAATGGAAAGCAAAAGCTAAAACGTAAACGTAAGTTAACAGCCAGAAATAGAACAGAGCGTGGGCAACACTAGTCCTTTCTCAGAAGCAATTTCGTTACATAAATAAATAAATTTACATGAGGTAGGATCAATAAAAATATTGGACTGTAATAACATGTTCTTGCTAGTTTACATATGACTTTATTGGAGAACAATAAGAAATGATTTATAATAGTGTAGCAGTATAGCAGTAAAAATGACACTTGTCTCACCTGAACTCTGAGCTTTGGAAGACAAAGTCTTGCTGCTAATTCTTCCCGCATGTATGCATCTAGGTAGTGAGACTTCATGAAGGATCTCTCAAGTTCGCAAAGTTGAAACGTTGAAAATATTGTACGATTCCGTCGGTACTTTTTCTTTTTTTCCTTGCCTGCATTGCTGTCGTTGTACTCTGCGTGAATGTTGGAGTCAAACTCGACTTCGTCTTAATAATAATTAATAATACGTATTTTTTGTTAATTCTTATTGTATATAATATGTCGTTCTTATATAGCGCTTCATGCACAAAGCCTCTAAGCGCTTCATATTTCAACCCCGGTCATTGGATCAAACACATATGGAACACACACTCAAGACCAAATTAAATTATTAAATTAAATTATATATTTTTTCATAATATTGCAGCTAGTAATCAGCGCAGTTGTGTTGGAACATACCATGTACCCACCAGTGGCGGACCGTCAAGGCAAGCAAGGTATGCAGTGCATACCCTGGCTAAAACAAATAAGAAAATATAGTAGTACAGAAAGAATAGAAAGAAAGTATAGTAGTTTCTGCCTATTTAGCATTTCTTAGCCACAATCTTCTATATAAACCTTAACTTTTCGAGTGGGTTGCTGTAGTTTATTGGAAAAGCAAAACTTTTCAATGTTTGGCCTACTTTAGTATCTAGGACTAGAAATTGCAAATTGCAAGTGAAGTGCTGTGAAGTGCAACTGCATATAAATGTTCTTCGAACAAAATTATTTATGCGAGTCAAGTGAAAATAACGAATAATAAAAATATAACAAATAATATGAGACATGACCCATTGTCTATATAATAGAACACTTCTCATTGGATAACAAAGTCGTAATTTTTCATTTTTGTCAAAAAGTGTCTATACTTTATAGTGGTGAATTATGGTTTAGGTTTTTTTTAATAAAGTTTCAAAAATGTTTATGTATGTGGAAAATGTAGTTGATTACCAAAGGTTACAATTATATTTTGAAGACTGCATGGTCTAGGAAGTGTACATTTTTTTATGGGGCAAGTTTCCAAGGGCGGGTTTTCTAGGGGTGAGTTGACTGCCAAAGAGTGTTGCCAAAGTGCGAGCCAGCGTGTTATTTGATCACAAGTGCGAGACATCGCAAGTGTGAGCCAGCGAGCCATGACGTCACGACAATAGATACGAGACGTTACTCGAGTTGTGCGATCGGCTGAGATTTGTGGAGTACAATTCAAAAAACAACAATAGGTCTAATAATGAATTATTGTGATGTTAAATAGACAATGTTAGCTATCAAGGAGCGACGTTGTTTTTCATGTACCTTTCAATGGTCAAATTGCTGTCAAGAATATGAATTGGCTGCTTCGCAGCAATACAAATTAATACTGTACAAACCAGAAAAAATATTTGCATTTGCACAAGTGTTTTCCTGCTTTTGTTTGGTGAGTAGTTTGATGCAGATTGCTGATTGTACAAGTGCTAGATCAAACTCTAATTCTAATTAAAATATGTATGATTGGATGGATAAGGGCACATATAATTTAGATCACTCTTTTTTTAAATAAAATTGATGAGGTAGGGAGGTTTTTTTTTTTTAAATCGAAACAATAGATTATTTCGCTTTCGTTTTTATCGATGAGGGAAGGACTGTTTATATTTGGTCTGTAATAGTAAATATTGTTTAAAAATTGGTTAAATTTTATAGTTTCTTAAAGATATTGTATTTGAAGTAACAAAATTGCATTATTTTTTATGCTGTTGAAATAATTGATGCCCTGAAGTGCCTGGTATAGCAATATATTTCATAATAATAATTAATTATTATTTTTTATTAATATTAAAAAGTAAGATATTACAGTACTGTTATAATAAATACGCTAAAATAAATATCAATCACAGTAAATTACTATTTATTAGTCACCGATCTAGGCCTAGGCACGAAAAAATCTGTTGCCTCAAACCCACCAAACAAAAATTAAATACTAAATAAACAGGGCCGGCGGAACGTTTTTCAAAGGGAGG